TCCCTGCAGGAGTTAGAGGAAGACAGATGCTCCCTGATACCAATTTTTACATACCCTCTCCCCCAAAACACAGTTGCCACTGAGTCAATTCCATGGGTGCAGAGTAGAGTGGCTCCATAGAGTTTTCAAGGCTTTTGGAAGTAGATCACCAGGCCTTTCTTCTGAGATGCCTCAGGCCTGGGAGAGGGGGAGAGGCATAAACCTTCTGGAAATTAACCATTTTTACCACCCATGGGCCCTTCCTGTGGCCCCACCCACCCAATGTTGTCCAGTTGAGTGCAACTTATATAGGACAGACTAGAATTGCTCCATACAATTTCTGAGTCAACAAATCTTTATGGAAACATATTGCCCCATCATTTTCTCTCAGAGAGGTTGGTGGGCTCAAATTGCCCACCTTGCAATGAGTGGCCCACCCATTGGGCCACAGGGCTCCTACATGCAGCCCCGAGTTTGTTCGCACCACTGATGTGTTAAAGGTATCTCTGGAGTTAGCAGCCAACCTATCTTCACTTTCTTGAGTTTCTGAAGTTCATAGTTTAGGTCGACTCATCCAACAAAACATCTGTGATCAATCTAAAGTATTTTAGTAGTATCAACAGATATCCAAGAAACGTTTTAAGAACAGTATAATGTCAGAGAATCATAAAATTTTATTTGTATTACCTGTTTTCAACTATTTCACTGGTCCTAAAATGTCATAGTCACTCCATATTCTCAGAATAACTTAACAGAAATACAGGGTCTCACTGAGTGACTTCATAGAAACAATATGTAAGCTAGCTATGGGTCTGAAGTCTTGTCTGTCTCACTTAAAAGCCAGTTGATAACCTCAAAATTAGCCCCATTCCCACAGGCTTGTCAATATTTAAAAATTGAACACATACAACATATCCTTCAGGAAGAAAGTTAAAGTAGGCCCACGGTGAGTGTGCTATTTTAATAAAGGAGAATGGCAGCCAGATTGGTCAGCTCAGCTGAAATACCAACTGCTCTGCTTGCCAGAGCTTCTCGCTTCACTTCCTGAAATAACAGGAACATTTTCTTCTATTATTGCTTTCTCTCCAAAGTCAACCACATAATTATTCTTCAAAGTTAAAAAAAAAAAACCTACCCCAAATATTCAAAACACCCAGACAGTAAAGTCTAACTTCAACTCAGCAACTCTTTTTGTTATAAAGTGTAGAAAATCACATGGCGTGTAACCCCACAAATCATAAACCATTTATATGGGTTGAAAAGTTCAGCATGAATAATTCCTGACTTTGCAGCAGTCTTGTTGATTTTGGCCTTTTTGGGAGGATTCTTGTTTATTTGCTCATCAAGTTTCTGCCGAAGAATGGCTTGTTTAAAGAGTCTTTTCTACTAAATCATTTTGGGGAAATCAGTGATTTTAGTTTTGTTTTTCACTTCATGCACTAGTCAAGAATGACGGGCACCAAATATCCAAAGCCTCTTCTGTAAAGTTGCTCAACAACTGCCACCAAGTCACTGCAGAGTCAGGATGATCCCATACGCTTCAAAACAAAACTGTCCTCTCTAGTGTTTTTAATGGCTAAAAATTTGGCAAGTATATAGCTTGAGTCTCCTTCCTAGACTCCATGAATGGATTCAACTACTACCTTTCAGCTGAGCATTTACTCATTTGTGGCACCCAGGGATTTCCTTCCCAAGTAAAACTTTTATAAAACAAAATAATTGTTTTCCTGTGTCCAGAAATTGTTAAAGACTTCATTTTGCTTGGATCCAAGAATCAGCACTCATGGAAGCAGCAGTCAAGAAATCAAACAACGTATTGCAGTAAGCAAATCTGCTGCACAAAACTTCTTTAATATACTCAAGAGCAAAGATGTCACTTTGAGGACTAAGGCGCCTGACCCAAGCCATGGTATTTTCAATAACCTCATATGCATGCGAAAGTTGGACAATGAATAAAGAAGACTGTAGAAGAATTATGGTGTTAAGGGAAGAATATTGACAGTATCATGGACTGCTAGAAGAATAAACAAATCTGAGTTGGAAGAAGTACAGTCAGAATGCTACTTAAAATTCAGGATGAAAACACTTCCTCTCTCATTCTTTGGACATGCTGTCAAGAGGGACCCTGGAGAAGGACATCATGTTTGGTAAAGTAGAGGGTCATGAAAAAGAGGAAGACAGCAAACACAGTGTAAGCAATAATGGGCTCAAAATATAGTAACAATTGGAACAAGCTGCAGGACAGGGCTTGTTTTGTTCTGCATAGGGTTGCTATGAGTCGGAACTGACTCTATAGCACCGAACAACAGCAGCAACACAACATTAGTTTTTTTTTTTTTAAACTACTGAACACCAATAAATCAGATTTTTCAAATGAATTTTCCATATTGAAAACTAACAAGGTTTACAGAAAGAGATGGGTGAAAAGAAGGAAAGGAAATATTCAAAAGAAAAGTGCAAGTTTGGCATTTATAACAATATCAGCTGCTATTTTGAGTGCTAAGGGCTCTGTAGCTACACATCATAATTTTAATGAAGTAGACACCATTTTATTATCTTCATTTTATAAATGCAGACACAGGCACAAAGAGGTCAAATAACTGGCCCAAGTTCACACAGCAGCTGGATTTGACCCAGGCAGTTTGGTGTCTAAGCGCATATGCTTAGCCTATTAAACAAATGGAAAAGATACTAGGAATGTTCATTAGGAACAATGAGATATATATTAGGCAAAATTGGAGACAGAAAGATCATTCAAGTTTTAGACAAGCAAGATCAGCTATTTTTTACTTCATGTAGCTAAACTTCTGAACCGTCTTCAAGTTGACATATACCATGGTTGAGTTTCATTTCTTTTACACTTGGCAGGCCACTCCTTGTTCTGAAGCCGAAAGATACACAGCTATAGCTTGGTTTCAAGTAGTCCGTGTGGCACATTCTGTATCTCTACTCAGGGCAAAGACCTTTTCTGCATGAGATAGAAATCAGCCTTCTCCATTGTCACTAAATACCTAGCAACCAAAATGGACAGAGGAGCTGATTAAGTGTTGCCTTTCCTGGGAACCACATGATAGAAAGGGGCTCTGGTAGTGTGTAGTGGGTTATGAGTTGGGCTGCTAATTGCAAGGTCAGCAGTTCAAATCTATCAGCTGCTCCACAGGAAAAAGATGAGGCTTTCTGCTACTGTAAAGATTTACAGCTTCAGACTTGCAGAATGGGCCCTTTGGTTGTTTAAATGATTATATATTCCTGTGTGTTTTTGTGTACATACCTCCCAAAAAACCAAAACAACCCAGAGGGACTAGAAGCAATGCATAGTGGAGATTGTAAGCATTGCAATGAAAGGATGGTATAACATCGATGTTCTCCCATGTAAATTATCACTCAATTCGCATCACAATAAAAACTTAAAAAAAAAAAAAAAAAGATTTACAGCCTCAGAAGCCCTACATAAGGTGGCTATGAATTGGAACCGACTCGATGGCACACAACCACCACCACCACCATGTGATACAAGAAATGTAAGAAATTGAATTAGATGTTGGGATTATCCTATTGCAGGCAAAGACTAACTCATTCAGTCTAGGATCATGTGCTTATAACCACTGAGGGAAGTAACAGAAATCTCTAAAGAGTATGAAGCTAGAACAACAGAAAAGAGTTGCTGAAATGCCAAGTTGACTGGGAATCCTCTAAGCTAGGCATCGTTGTTACTGTTGTTAAGTGCCATGGAGTCGGTTCCAACTCATAGTGACCCTGTGTAGTGTTTCCAAGGAGTTGCTAGTGAGTTTGAACCACTAGCAAACCAACCTGTGTTCGACTGTTTATCCTATGGAGCCACACCAGGACTCTTAAGCATCCTTGTTGTTGTTGTAGTTAAGTGCCATTAAGTCAGTTCCAAGTCAGAGAGAGCCTGTATAGGGTTTCTGAACCACCGAGCCTGCATTATCCCACAGAGCCAAACCAGGACTCCTAGGCATCCTTAGAGATTTCAACATGTCCCCATTTTATAGCTTATTCTGTGGTTCTACAGGATGACAACAATTTGAAGTATTTGTCAAACATGTTTTAGGTACTATTTGGCCGGTATAATTATCATAGATCTTAGTCAACACGAAGGGCACTAGGGGCACCCTTCGGTCATCCAGGCTTGACTAACAAGGTGCTGAAAGTATAAGCCAGACTCACACCATCACCCACACGTCAGTCAGCACGATGACCAGTGGCCTCTGTGGAACCACATTGTGGCCAGCTAAGAGCTGTTCCTTTCTTATGCTGGTGCCTTTCCCCCATTAAAACAAACAAACGAATCAGTAAACATCTAGTCTGCACCCATCCACTAAAAGAGCCCATAGTATATTCCAATGAATTCAGTGCATTTATGTGCCCATTTTCAAGTACCAACTTCTAATCACTTATACAGAGTCATTCAGCAAATGTTTACCACGCAGTATAGCATAGTGGTTATGAGTCGGGCTGCTAATCTCATCGTCAGCAGTTCGAAACTACCAGCAGTTCCGCAGGAGAAAGATGAGGCTTTCTGCTCCCATAAAGATTGACAGCCTCAGAAACCCTACACAAGGTGGCTATGAGTCGGATTCGACTCAACGGCACATAACCACCACCACCAACCTCATACATGTTAGTCACCACAAAGCAAACAGACAGGACTAAGAGAGCCTGGACCTTCAGTGCTAAGAGGTGGAAGATGCCAAAACCTAGAATACAAAAAATGTGTGTGGGAAACTAAATGCAAACTTCTTGAAAAGGCACTATCCAAATGTTACAGGAATTATGAGTGGGAAAAGAGGAATCGAGGGGAAAGGCTTCTGAAAGGGTCCCCGCCTGTCTGAAAGAAAGTCAGCATTTCAGTAGGTGTGAACAGAATCAGGACATAAGCTCAAGCCATGTAAAGAAGCACTTGGGGAGGACAGAGGGGTCCAGTAGAGTTACCCGAATGACGAGCTACCCTGTTCAGTTCAACCAGATGTGGACCCCCAGAGCAGACCCAGGCAAGGTACCTTGCAATCACAGCCGATGGGCTTCTTGCATTCCTCGCAGTTGTTGGCATAGAGGGTCTCAAAGCACTCCACGCAGTGAGGGCTCTCCTCCTTCAAAATATACTTCTTGCCAAAGAGAGATTCATTACAATGGTGGCAGTCAAAGCGCTCCGTCATTTTGACACCTGGCTTTTCAACAGCCTATCAAAAAGAAGAGAAACCACAGACCCCAATGAGTACATTGTGAATGCCATGCATACAAAAGCATTAACCGTTCAGCCATCTGTTAGTGTTGTTGTTTTTTTAGCCAAGGGATAACTTCTCTGGCAGAATAATTTAAACTCACTCAGTCGTCATTTTCAGTGATACAGGTCTTTTAGTAGCTGGGGCAGTTTTGTGTTTCAGTGTGTTCTATCTACTTCTTTAAAGTCCCTATTATCACTGACTGTATCAAATAAAGTGTCTAAGTTTGGGATACAAGTAGGAGTTTCACATCTGAGCTGCTATCCTGTTGGGCTTTGTGTGAGCTTTAATAGTGTGACTGAGCCTTAAATCTTGCCATTTTCCAGGTCCCCGAAATAGAAAGGCTGGGACGACAAACAATGTGTCCGTTTCTGTAGAAAGATTTTCCATGAGCTTCCCTTTGTGATTAATAAAACTGAAGACCAAGAAACCACATCAACAAAAGGACAGGCCACCCGAGTTGGTAAATCTGAGATTAGATGCCAAGTATACTACCTTTGACCTTGAGATTGCATTGACCTTGATCAGATAATCTGTCCCTGAGCTAGAGTAACGGCCCAAAGTCCCTCAGGGCAGGTCATTTTGCCCAGATTATAAAATCATTCTTCAGCTGTTTGGGTATCAAGGGGAAGGCTTGCTTCCCAAGAATGTGAATTATCACACAGTCAGAAATGAAGTGACTTCCACCAATGGCATCTCCAGGCAACACCTAGCACTTGTCAAAGAGGAACAAGAATGTGTTTCTGAGCCACGGCAGGAACACAGCCCTGCTGCATTTTTCCAGGATGAGTATAGAGTGTACGTGATAGAAAGGCACAGGGTGGGGGAAGGAGAGGAGGAAGAGGGTTCTTTCTACTATCTCATTCTCATATGACCGTTTCTATACAAAAATTTAAAATGCCCCCCTGTGGGAATACTTGATGTAGAAAAATGCCTCCAGGGCCTTAAAAACAGTTTATTTTTGTAAGTGGTAATATTAAATTTACTGAAAGTGAAAACTTTGATAGGGTGTGAAGTCTGCAAATTGATTTGCTATGTAGCTGAGCAGTGTTTCACAAATGTTCATTAAATTTTGCTCCCTTTTCAGGCATTTAAGAATACTTATGGTTGGTGGTTCAAACCCACCTAGTGGCTCCTAGGAAGAAAGGCTTGGCTGTATGCTTCTGTAAAGTTTCTGTAGCAGAACCCATACAGAGCAATCCTACTCTGTAACATGGAGCTGCAGTGAGCTGGGACTGACTCAGTGGCCAGAGGGATGGGTTTTTGGTTTTGTCTTAAGATCATTGAAGAGTGAACCAGAATTAGACCATATGATGCAAATACAATACTGCTCTTTGAGTTACAAACGTATGGGAGTCAAGTCAATTCCAACTCATAGCAATTCTACAAAACAGAGTAGAACTGCCTCAGAGGGTTTCCGATGCTGTAAATCTTTGCTGAAGCAGACTGCCACGTCTTTCACATGTGGAGCTAGAAGCCCAAAGCTTAAACACTATGTTACCAGGGCTATTTTAGCAAACTTGATAGTGTACTCTTGTGTATACAAGGGTCTGACAATCATAAGCAAAGAAATGAACATCTTTCAAGTACTCATGTTGAGTTATTTCTATGTTTATAAAAGAAGTTTCTTCCAAGAGTATTAAACATGCAGCTGGACACATGTGGAAGACTCTATCCTCCTAAATCACTCTTCTCCTAGTTAAGGAAAACATTGTTTGGACATTCTTGTGATCAAATCACAAGATGAGGCTCTTGAGCATTTGAATTATTATTCTGAAACTCAACATGTAAATCTCTTTTGCATGGATGCTGTCTCAGATTGCAGCAGCTATACTGGCAGAAGGCTTAATTCTTTCCTATAATTCCTCAGTTACTGGTATTGAAAATAATTGTTTATTTTATCACAATTGAGAGCTTTCCTTCCAACATATATATTTTTACAATAAAGGCTGTCATTTTGCTGTGGAAGCCAGAGGCTTACTGCTTATTCTGCTGACACAAAGATAAGGATAACAACTTGAGAATTTGATATAAGAAAGAAGATAGATTACAAATCATAGAATTTTAAAAGCTGAGATTATCTGTCAATGGAAAAACTGAAGCCCAGGAATATTAATGACAAAAGAGAATTCACTTGCATGTTCTCACATAACCCTTGAACTCCATATCTAGATATGATGAACTCCAAATCTAAATCAAAAGGCAGAGGGGACTCCAAAGTGGGTTCAGACAAGCATCAACCCTGTTAGGAATCGGACCAGACTGTGGACTGTGCTAATAATCTCTATATAATACCTCGTCTGTGTTTGCAACGGAGTCCTGGTGTACTGTAGGATAAGCACTGGACTGCGAACTGTAAGGTCTGCAGTTCAAACATACCAGTTGCTCCTCTGAATCCTATAGAGTGGCTATCAGTGGGAACCGACTTGACGGTACTAAATAACATATTCACAAGCTAGTTAAAGGTGAACCTTTCTTCTACAGGGTAATATGACACTCCTGAGGAGAATATTTAAAGTGCCATGGGCTGCCAAAAGAACCAATAGATCCGTTTTGGAAGAAGTGCAGCCAGAGTGCTCCTTGGAAGCCAGATTGGCCAAACTTCGTCTCTCATACTTTGGACATATTGTCAGAAGGGACCAGTCACTGGAGAAGGATATCATGTTTGGTAAGGTGGAGGGTCAGAGAAAAAGAGGGAGACCCCCAATGAGATGGATTGGCTAAGTGGCACCATCGATGGACTCAAGAGTGGCAACGGTAGTGAGGTTGGCCCAGGTTCAGGCAGTGTTTCGTTCTGCTGTGCATAAGGTTGCTATGAGTCAGTGGCACCTAACTCAATGGCACCTAACAACAACAAGACACCTAGTATGAGTTCTCCCTATCTTCTGATTTCACAGGACCAGGAAAGGAAACAAAAAATCTAAGCGAATTAACGTTGCGAACAAGTAGGGTCCCATACATACTCAAAGCGTAGCTGAGGATATCTTGTGAGAAATGCTTTTCTCAAAGGAACTGACTCTAAGCAGAAAGACTATTAGACAGATGATCATGGTGGCCCTATGATGACCCCATGTGTCAGAATAGAACTGTGCCCCACACGTTTTCAATGGCTGATTCTTCGGCAGGTGATCACTAGGCCTTTCTTCTAAGGTACCTCTGGTGGACATGAACATTGAATCTTGGCTCACAGCCAAGCATGTTAACCATCAGCACCACACCGGGGACTACAGAAAGAGTGTAAAGTGATCTGCTCAGGTGGTCAAAGTGTGATGGGGCACCTGTCTCAGGGTACAGGTCCCATCTCTATAAAACGGTTTCTGAAGATTGTGGGTCTCTCCCACCTAGTTCCTTATCTTCTCTAAGAAGTCATTGTTGTTTGATTATGCTGGAACCAACCAAGCAAAATTTGTGGGATCCAACACCACAGATTAGGAGCACAGCAGGATGCACTTTACCTGAGAAGGCCCTCTTAAGGATTTCCAAAGAATTGCATTAAGTATAAACTATGAAATCTCAGAATAAGTTGTTCCAGAGTCCTGTTGTGGCGCGGTAGGATAAAGCACTCTACAGAAGGATTGGTTTGAACCACAAGGTTGGCGGTTCAAGCTCACCAGTTACCCCTTGGAAACCCTATGCAGGGTTGCTGTGAGTCAGAACCAACTCAACAGCACTTAACAGCAACAGCAAAAGCAAAAGTGAAACAAAATGCTAAGAGCGTCCCTTTTATCACACGCAAAAACTGATTCTTCTCTAAATGGTACCAAATAAGTACTTTTTTCTAACAAAAAATAACAAAGCTACACTGAATCTTAACCCTCTTTATAATGGGAAAGCCTATGTACAGTCATACGCCATGGGTTCTGCCTCACTGTTAGTGTCTCAATGTTTAACTCACTACACCGGCAGAGCTCCTGCTATGTCAGAACCCTCCTATAATTCTACCTGTTTTAATCTCATAAAATACCCGATTATCCCTTCATCCAAGTAACTTTGGCTGAACTGGAACGATATACCAGTTTTTTTATGCAAAGTGCTGGAGGTTCAAAGATGAATAAGATATGAGAGGGCTTTGAAAAATTCATGGAATTTTTAATCTTTTCATTCATTTTCCCACAAATTTTTCAAAGCCCCTGGAATAGGCCCTTCCCTCAAAGAGCATGTAGTTTTAATGGAGAAAACATCTATATATCAGAGGTTAAAGCACTGTGCTAAAAGCAAAACATAAAAAAAAAAAAAAAAAAAAAAATCCATTGTCCTAAGGCTAATTTCGACTCATTTTACATTCAACAACTCATATACTTTGTTTCATTACAATGACTGCAGTTCCTTCCATGTACCGTCAGTTAACAGTTATTGTTGCCAGGTCATTGAATTGGTTCCAACTCAGTGACCCTTCATAGGGTTTCCAAGGAGCAGTTGGTAGGTTTGAACCACCAACCTTGTGGTTAGCAGTCCAGTGCTTACCATACAGTGCCACACCAGGACTCCATTTCCTCAATTTATCTCTATTCCCTTTAACTCTTGCATTCCTCCCTGTTGTCTCCTGCTACCTTCATCTTCCCTCTGCCAGCCTCCCTCTTGTATATTGCCTGCCCTGTCACCCATGTTAACATGTGTCTGCCCTCTAGCCTGTGAATAATTTTCCCTCCCCACACCCCTTGCCCTCACCTTCTTTCCTCCATTCCGCCCCTACTCCACTCCATTCCCAGTGATCATCAGAGAATGTCTCTCTTATCTAGAACACCTTTTTACAACAGCCGCCTCATACAAGGGCTATAAATCTTTATGGAAACAGATTGCTACATCCTTCTCCCATGGAGTGTCTGATGGGTTCAAACCACCAACCTTTCCATTAACAGCCCAACACTTAACCACTGCACCACCAGGTTCCTTGTGCTAAAGGCAGAGAGGAAGAAATGCACAGGGGATTACGGTATATAGAAGAAACGCTG